TGTCTCTCTGTTGCAGTTTGACTCCTCATCCACTTCTTCCCCATTTATTGTGTGTTCAGAAGTGATACCAGCTTGGGACGAGCCTCGTCATTTGAAAAGAAGTGAGGATGAAACATAAGTGCCCACAGACAAGATAAGGCGCTTCAAAACGTTACTTAATGGCAACCCTAGTGACGGAATCATCGCGGTACAAGACCAAACATCAAACACTGCTGAGAAACTTTCCCAATTTTCCCCCAATCTACTGTCCCCAAACCCAATATTATACGACTAACAAGCAGTTGTCCTTAAGTTTAACGGTCACAAATCATTATATCTCGGCGGATGCCATTGAAGAAAGCATACATACGTGCCTGGTAAGGAATACATGAATGAAAGTCATTCCTTCTATTTCTTCACTTGACGAGTGCAGAGGGAAATATTCTCTCTGCTTAGATTTCCTCCAACAAGTGGTGTTTTCTCAAGTAAAGAGCCTGTTGCTAAAAAGGTTTGTTGCACACTGTAGAGGTAGATGTGGGAAATACAAAGAAAGCATTTTTTCTCGCTGTTCTACAACATGCAAAATCTGTTTCGGAGAAAGACTAGATTATTTGGAAGATCTCCCTCGTAAGTATTGTAAAATTGAAGCTGAACTAATTCCCTATTCAAACGAGTTTTCTTTATTGCTATGGCTTTTTACCATAGAAAAGTTATTGAAAGTGAAAAAAGTTGGTTCACTTGAAAACGAGAAACTAAGGGAATTGAAAGCATAGTGGCTCAGCTTTTGTTTCGAACGTGACGAAAGCCATGCAGGAATATAGCTCTGCGCTCATTAGTGAAGTGACAAAGATTGTGAAATTTGAAGAAGCAAATCGCTTAACAACGTGGTTATGTCCAAGGCATCCGTTCAGTGATGCGTACAGTCTCGTCCGCCGCGGACAAAGGGGCGTGTCAGACAGGATGGGTTTGGCGCGACATCATCTTCTCGCATGGCACGCCCCCTCATCCGCAGCGAACAAGACTGTGAGCGCCATCTTACCGGTGCATATCTTTCTTTCAGATCTGAGTTTTCTACACTCGCAGGCAAGTTTTCTACCAATATACCGACCGCTCCCCCTAGACAGAAGCCTCTCAGGATTTGATCCCAGGATACATACGTGGGGGAATGGCACTACTTGCCGTCAGGGCACGTACTGTTACTGAAGAAAAAATGGTAGAACACGGCTCACTTCTCCAATTTCCTCCTCAGGTATGCCTCATTTCCCCATCCTGCCTACCACTTTCTCAAGTTTCCCTTCTCAGACTTTCTATCACCTTTCTCTCCAAAAAACTGCGCTCGGGCGGGAGATGGGTTGAAAGAGAAGAGAGGAAGAAAGGAACGGAGGGATTTTCTCAGTGTCGGATGCGATTCTCCTCACAGAGTGGGGAGCAAATACGATCCCTTCCCCTCCCCCACTGGGTGTTTCCGCGTGAAACAGGAAAAATCAAAATCGCCTAAGCAATTTCTCAGGCTACATACGACTGCCCTCCCTCCAGCGACTAAATATACTCCTTATCCCTGAGCCAG